ACAGGAGATTTTTAAACTTTCAGAGCAATAAAACTCAAGAACAGAAAAACGCTCGAGCGCAAGAAAAAGGTGTGAATGCTGGGAACTCTTTGTACACAATAGGTGACGATACACTGTTAGTCACAGAATCAAGGCTATATGCGCTGTAGTTGTGCAAGGAGAACGTACATCGGCAGGAACCACATGTGCACCCCTGTCACCAACTCTAACTGGAGAATTCAATGATATCATTCGCCAAATGTAATCTAAATTCAGTTTCACTGAATATAACGTCCAGTTGCAGGAAGCATATGCAGTTGCAACTTAGTCAATTAAAGTGAAAATACCACTTTTGCTGCAGACTGATGCTGACTTCATGTTTTTGTGGCTTAGAAATAGCTGAATACTTTTTAATGGATTGTAGATAAAAGAGATTCATTTACTGCTCAAATGTTCGGCTGATTTTTGAGGTTATAGCCTTAGATGATTGCATGAATACAGTAACTGCAAGGAAATGGTTGACCATACATTTGTTTGTTTTACTGTCAAACATCCAATCTACTTTTGGATTAACATTCAAAAAGTTTCCTCAAAGTTACTCTCCGGCTACTAAACTATCCAATAAAACAAGAAAAGATAGTCAAAAATTGTATCACATCTGTGTAAAATTCATTCCCTGGCCGAAGCTGAGGATAGAAAACATTAATGTGACCAAGATGTATTCAAGTATATATCAGAATTCGTCAGCCATTTTAATGAATTTGCTCGGACAGATGCTCCCCAACTCATCAATTAATTTTAATGTACACATTAACATGACTCCAATTTGATGGAATTCTCTTATTTTTATCTAATTGAAATGACTAACATTATCGTTGCAAGAATTGTGTGGCAGGTACTGATTCTAATCTTGGTTTATTATTTGCTAATGATGGGAAGTAAATTTATATCTTTAAAAAAACTAAATCGGATCAAAATCTAGTCTGCAAGCATTGCATCTAACTATATATGAGATGACACCGTAATAGTTTTCAATATGAACCCTCATAATTCATCAAAAACAAAAATTTATCTGCATTCCAGAAAAGAGATATGTAAAACCATAGTGGTCATGCTTAGTGACAAGATATACCCTTTTCAAATATATCCAACTGGAAATACGAACGATATTCGATCAGTCCATTCAAGTCCTTTGGCCCGTTCGAACTGAAAGAATATTTCCCAAACAGTTAGCACTATTATCCACAACGATGCACCGACCATTGAATATATCACATCTATAAAATAATAAACAATATGAACTGAAACATCTTAAACAGCAAGTAATCCACAAACTAACAAGTTCTAAACTATAATGCTGATGAAAAGACGCTAATTAAAGAGTCTTCTTTGAATCTCAAAGTGATAATTTCAAATTTATCATTCAGTAAATCTTATCTCAGTCTTGATAAACAATTTCCTGTGTTTGCTTCGATTTCTTCCACACTGTTACTAACCTAAAGTAAAGAAATCTCAATAGCACGTGTCTGTAATACTTATATCTGGCAATTTTTTCTCGCGAAATGCTACATTCACATTAAACAGACAGCAACTAACGAAGTGGATACGTAATTTCATACGTGTCTCAAGAATAATAAGTTCTATTAGACCATTTCAAGAACAGTAGCGAGATAATGAACGATGGCAAAAAGAATACGAATAAAGTTAAGCACTGAAAATCATGAACTCACATTGTCTAATAACTTTTTGAGTGAGTGATGGCTTTTCATAAAATGCACATTTGAAGAACCATACGGCATTGACAATCCAAACGAGGGGGAGTAAAGCAAAACCAATATAGAAGTAACGCTTACAAAGAGTCACCTTATCGGCATCAGACATTTTTTTTAAATCCATACTCAGAGATTCTGAAATTTCATAACTTATCAAGATCAACTCTTGGCAGAAAAGTATGAAATAAGAATTTGCGAGTTTCCACATATGAATTACATCTTCCCACACCGGGTAAATAAAACTAGCGCAAGAATGATTTATGATTCAACTGAAATGAAATAATATGAACTTATTGACTTGAGGAACAACAATCACAAAACGAAATCCAAAGGTTTATATTTAATGAGAAAAAAATGCACACACAATTCTGGAAACATATAGGAAACAATTGTCATTAGAACCTAGCACGTTAAGAAAAGATTTGCACAATTCCAACAAATACTTTATTAAAATACTAATTTGACGACAACTATGTTTATTCACATTTGCAACCATGAAATGAAGTGTACTTACTTGCATAGGATTTTTACTGATCTATAAAGTTGACTTACACGTATATGTCCAACCAAAATTATTGGAATCATTAATTTTGTGGTAACTACTTTTTTATATCAGCAGCTTATTTGAATTATTCTTGATACCACATCAAACATAAGTACTGTTTTGAATAACCCGAGATAAAATGCAAATTTAATTTCACAGAATCCTTTTTCATAATGTAAAAATTACTTACAGTTTCATCTTTATATAGCACACTGTATAGCAGCAGGTACAAATGAGCTGCAGACTCAAAACTGCAAATTTATATTATTTATACTTGGTAAACAATACTTCTATACAGGTCTTTACATGCAAACAATATTTTATGATATATAATTAATGTAAATATTTGCTTCCATTTTGATATTGGTTAATAAAAATCAATCGTAATCAGGAATCTCCAGTAGAACTTATTCCATCTAATAGTTTATTTTCCGCATCTAAATCCATTAATGCCATATACCGGTACCAATATGATGTGTTGGCATCAACAGGATCCCCCACAGTAGATACTTTCTTTATACCGTCAGGGATTAGCTCGCGTAACAATCTGTGAGCTCAATTTAATTACGAACTTTTAATACAAACAATATGGCCTTTTGAATGTTTTCATTTCACTACTATAAACTATAATAACCATTATGAACAACGTCTGAAAGTTCCTTTCGACAAATTTTTGATAAATTCAAAATCCACCTTCTTTTAACACTAATGGGTTGCAATTTACTGCAATTGTCAGTTGTAAAAACTATGCAACCATAAAATTTTTTCTTTTAATTTCGACGAACTCTTTCAAGTTTAATTGTTCGATATAGTTATAGAAACAAAGACATCATATGCAAGGCATATGGATTAATTTCACCTTTCACAAGTCAGTTATTCATAAAAATTGTTATTGACGAATTACCGATTTCGTTTCAGCAACTTTTGATAAAATTCTTTACCACCTGTGCCATAATCTACAGACATCCGAGCTGCATCGGCATCAGCAGATTGATCTGTGGTATGCCTTGAAATTTTGCAGTCATATATTGCTTATCAGAATTAACAACAATACTTCCAACAAAATATCTGTAAGCTACCTTCATTTTTTGAACAAAAAAAAGGATCCACAATATTTAAAGACCCATGTTTAATTTATTTATAGAGCTTTCATTAAATGGCATAAATTTGGGCAACAAAGACCCGAAATTTACCACTTTCAAATCTCGTATATTATTTGAATTTTCATGCGTGACTAAATTTATGAATTCACTTACCAATCAAGTCTAGCATTTTGCATACTACCCCACCATGCGGGAGCATTTAGAACTGTAGACAATCCGCAAAACCATAACAAATTCCTACGAAGGTAATAATTGACCATTATATGAGCCAGCATAAAAGCAATACTCGTATAGCAACACCAGTAAAATGCAAACAATGCTGACCTTTTTACAGGCTCATGAGCCCTCAAATCTCGCTGAACCATGAATTTTAAAGCCTACAAAAAAGTGGAAGGAACTGGAGGGTCTGACGTGAGTAGGCTTGAATATGACGTTAGTCTTCATAGTTACAACAAATTACTGAAAATGCTATAAAAAATAATATATCAGAATTAGTATTGCTGGTTAAACATTTCCAGAATCTATCAAAATAATGTTAAACCAACATTTTTGCTGAGAACAAATGTTTCAATAATCTGACGACCTATATCTGATTCCCAAACAACACAAGCTTTTCCATTCATAAATAACATTGGTTCCAGCTTTTCTTTACAATAATTATAGGCTTCGTCAAATGTTTGAAATTGAGTATAAAATGGCAAGGCTACTCTCGCACCCCATGGACTATTCAATGCGCCATGAGTGACTGAATCTAAATATTCTGAAAAAATTTTTTTTAATTAGATATATAACAAGAACAACGGAGTGAAATAACCTGCTAAAAGTTAGTTTTAACAGTTGCAATCATAACTGATATTTAGCTTACCGTCTAAAACATTGAAGATTTATGAGCTAACATACAATTAAATACATCAAAAACGTTTAAACGTATCTAATATTTCAATGAACATCAAAATCAAAATTTAATGCTCAAAATTAAAAGCTTACTTTCGGAAGTCAACAAGTAAAAAGTAACTTTCTTTTTCTTTCGTATTCGATCGTCAGACATTAGAAAGTTTTCATATTCCTGCAATCAATGTTAAAGTGACAAAAATGCTTTATTACACGCAAAAATGTGCTTGCAAATTAAAAAGAATTTGCTGCATGTAGATCACAATAAAAAAACAAAACCACACATGAAACTTATCGAAAACTCGTATTTCAATTTCAATTTATAAACCACTTACAGAATTAACGATATCTTGCAAGTGACTTGGCAGCACAGAAGAAAGTCCATATCGTTTCTCAAAATATTCCTTCAAGTACGGACCATTTGACAGAAAGTAAAGAGTTGGTACCGAGGATATGGTTAGAGTAACTATACCTAATTGCAAGCGGCGTACCCACCTTACATTCTGCATTCGTAATAGCTCCATGCCCATCACTCACTATAAAGGAAACATGAATGTCAAATTTCAAAACCCTTTACTTGCTATGAATATCTCCAAAGACTCCCAGACCGTCACTTTCCCAGCTTCCATCAAAATACTGCGATACGCCTTGTCACTAAACAAGACAACCACCCAAGATAGAGCAATGCATTCCACTATCAGAAATTTTATAGGACTAGCCAGATGAAGTGATAAATAATCGCTTAAACGTGCATAATGAATGTTTATTTACTGAACACAATATTTATTTTTATATCATACACGTCAATGTGATACATGAACAAGCAAATATAAAAATCAGATTAAATAGTGGCGCATATCAAAAACGCATCAAGACTTTTCAAAAGCTGTTGTTCATAGAAATCAGTGTTCATCGAATATAAATTTATGTCAAACTTAAAAACATTTTTTTAAATATTAAGCATACTTCTAAAATACAAACAAATTTTTCAAAAATTATACTCAAAAAAGAAATCTGAGATATCAAAACTTAATTCATGTTCATTTGCTCCTTTGTTTCTTCTTTTTATCGAAATCCTCAAGTTCTTCTAATCTTTTCGAATATGGCCATGCATCTCCAACACTATCACCATTTGGCTTTATAAATTCCGAATTCCAATCTTGCAGTGCTTGACGTATTTTGAGATTCGTAGCAACTGATGAAGCCAAGTATTCACGAGCTCCTTCCATATATTCGGAAGAGCTGTAATTGAACGGATTTAAATACAATCGAAATTAAAGAGTGTCGGACAAAATTTAAATTTGCACGATTTCAAGAAAGCAAATATTTTTTCAAATTTTGCTGTAAGCCCTATTACTTAACGGCATGGAATTTGAAAAAATTGTTCTATAAAACTTTAAAACTATTTCATTTCAAAAATTTTGGTAAATATTTGAAAGGCAATGCAAATAATACCACGGAAATCAATGTTGATCGAATAAAATTTGTGCCAAACTTAAAAAAAATTTTTTAAATATTAAGCATCCGTCTGAAATCTACTTAACACTATCACTAAATTATACCAAAAAGTAAATACCACAAAAATTACTCGGAGTAAGCATCGTGATCCAAGATTTTCTCACTGTATGAGACAAAGTCTCGAAGTGCCTGTCGAAAAGTAAAAACTGTTACTGGTATCGAAACTGCTACAGTACCATAAGAAATTGCACGACCAAAGCGCATCATTAAAATGAATAATAAGGACACAATACTCGATAAGAGAATCCAAATAAAAATTGGTCCCAGAACGAAAGAGCGACTGAAATCTTGAGTTGGACTGTTTTTTGTTTTTGTTTGCCTCAAGCTGTTTCTTTTATCGATGAAGTTAATTAAATGAAGATAAAATAAGATATGCCAAAAACATGATTCCAGAATTTTTTATGTCAAACCTAAAAAAACGGACAACGTGAGAATAGAAAGAAAACTGTTAACGGATTCAATACCGATTAGCTCTTAGTAGCTCTCGGCGAATAATAAAACGCCTAGCAGCCTCCGATAAAAGGTAATCATTAAAAATATTTTTTGCAGCAGCTGTTGCAGTATTCACTGTTTTTTGCTTACTGTAAGTAGAACAAACGCTAGAAAAATAATACTAATCAAAATGCTGTATGGCCGAAAACACAAAAGCATTGCATAATCTGAAAATGAAGAAAAAGCAGAAAATCATTATATTTCTTCATAAATGTTTTTCTCACAGTCAACGCTTCATCTTCATATACCTACACATTTTAAATAAACTTACTTATTGGAGAATACAAACCTCGAAAAGGTACCTGCTGAATTTATAATCGAAATTCGGTTCATTTTCGGCAATTCAGATACACTCTTCGCTACTGCTCGTATTGGTAGAAACAATTCAAAGCCATGTCTCAAATAAAAACCACCGCGCCATTCCGGATTCAGTGAATCAGTTACAGCAATTTTCGTCTAAGTCAGTATGCCATGCATGTATTATATATAAAAACAAAAAAAAAGTTTTCAAACTTTTTTATTTTCAAAATCACTGGTTACAATGATAGTTGAGTGATACATTTTATCTTGAAGAAATGTACCTAGAAAATCTAAAAGCTTTAAATACTTTTTAAATCATACTATATAAAATAACAGCCGTTAACAAATAAGAGTCAGCAAAATTCGACGCTTACATTCACTTTTAATAGCAAATTATCCAATTTGTCTAGCTCACTTTCCACCAAATCCACGATTTCATCAGGTACATCATATTCGATATGTTTTCTTCCAAAACTAATCCTTGAAATTTTAATGAATGAACAAAATGATTTAATCAATAAATTAGCAAATTAAAAGTGATGCAATTTTGCAGACTCGAGATCATACTAATTTACAAGAATCATCCAAAATCGCAGTATTTGAAAAAATTTCGACAGGAAAAATCACGATTATAACAGTATTGATGTTTTTGAATCAGAATTCTGTAAGTGGTAGATTTATAAAAGCTAAAACTTACAGACGAGCGTGAAATGCAATCATACCAGTTGGATAAGCAGCCGTGCCGATGGCAGCAGCTAATTGCAACATTCGTTTCTCCCATTTACGCATATTTTGAGCTCAAGTATATATATATAGCAATATTTCACGACATTTGTTATGCTAATCCTAACCAGGATTAACAAATGAAAAAACAAAAACGTTAAAAATGGCAGTCATGAAAAACTCCCTCCCCTTGGTTGTAGTATTTTCATATTGTTGCAAACCAAACATTCGAAAGAGCTATCATCGTAATATACAACTCCATGGGATATGTACTTATCTAGTCTGGGTTATATAATCTGAGTTGTGTCCTGAGCAGGTGTGAGGAATCAAGTCATCAAGATTATATGCGTAATTCACTTTGATCTGTACAAAGGCATAGACTGTTGAATAGATATGATTTCTTTTGAAGTTAAATTGATTAAGGTTTGGCTGAGATCCTTTCAAAAAACATCTTTTTGTAATGGATGAAAACTTACTTTGTAAGCTTATTAATTTGCAAAAAGTAGTGATTGCTATTTCAATCATTTTGCAGCAGTAATAAGTCAGGGAAATGGATACTGAAGAAGAGAATGAATTCTCTCTACGGCGTGAATTCAATTTGTGCGAAAGTTTCATTAAAGATTTGGAAAATGGTAAATATAGCTCAAAGGATATCCAGGTAAAATAGCGTTAAATTTTTGCATTCTTTTCAGTACTTGAAATTGACTTGATTTATTTTTGCTTTAGGCATATTTTACATTTGGAAGCGGAAATTTATCATTGAATAAATTATTTCTGAAGTAGGGATTTTTGTAGGTTCAGCTCAAGAATTGTGAAGAAAAATTAGAAATATTGACAAGAGAAGCATCTGCACGTTCTTTGTTTACTGACAACGATAGTATCGATGAAATTCCAACCAGTTCATTAGATTATTTATTTTTACCATATTACCTGGGAACGGTGGTGCAAAATATTATTGTTGAACCTGAAGAACGTATATCATCCTTGAATCGTGCAAAGGTGTAATCAAATTCTTATTGCTAGAAAATATGATCTTTTAAAATCTTTTGATTTCGTAGTTTTGAAAAATGTTAAAGTTAGAAGTACTGAAGCACTTTACCGAGTTTTATTTCAAGAAAATATAAACAAATTTATGCTAGAGGAATTAAAAATAAGTTCTACCCTTTTCTATGTAATTGTTAGATCGAGTTTTTTGTCTACCTTGCTCTAATTTGTGGAAATTTTTTTTGATAATTTATTCTTCAGGTATATTTGCGAAACTTCTTGGAAAGGTTAAAGTTATTTAGTATCATAGATTTTGAACTTCCTTGGACAAATAATGACGGGGAGGAAAAAACGATTGGAAAATATAAGCAACTCAATCTATCTGAAGAAAGACAGGCAAAATTGCAAAGACTGCAGGAAGAAATGAAATTACGTGAATTAGTAAAAGAGTTGGAGCTCAAATTGGATTCAAATATTGATGATGAGTATTTAATGGTATGATATTAATATAATATTTTCGAAAATCTGGATTGAATAGAGATCCTCTTCAGTGCTATCACATTTTTCGGTCTTAAAAAGAATATGAATGATTTCGATAATTTGAGTGAATTAGTCTTACTATCTGAAAATTTATTCGATGACTGGAATTAGAAGAGTTAAACAAAATATGTGTAAAATATATTTCATATTTATTCTAGAGTGAAATGAAGCTAAAAGAGGCATATTCAAGTCGTCATAAATAAGATATTAGCAGTAAGTTTTACTTGAACTTTTTTCAGCGAAGTGTGGTTGAAAATCGTTTGCGTTTGGCTGCGATAAAAAGTATGAAAGATTTAGAACAAATTGAGGAAGAAAAGCCGCTAGCAGAGCATATGTTAAAAATTCGAAGAGGAGAAGTTGAAGACATGCGAAAAGAACCTCGTACGTGATGTTGCTTTAATGTAATAGGATGGTGAGCTAAAATGGTTCATACTAAATAAAATTTTACTGATTTCATGATATTAAGAAGCAACTTTACATTCTAGCTCTTCATATCAAATGAAATGATGTTTGCAGTAACTGATATTAAAAACTTAGCTTATTAATTGTCACTAGTAAGAGTTTTTTTCTCTTAAAATTCAATAATTTTAATTTGAAGTAAGGCAGTCTGCAAAGCTTCCTTTTATAATTACTCGCGATCAAATGCAAAAAAAAGTTCTTGGTCTTGGATATCCTAGTATACCGACAATGACCGTTGACGAGTGGTATGATGACATGGTAAAAAATAATAGGTGATATATTTTTTGCTTTAAAAGTTTTAGTGAGGGAGGTTCTTGTTCTTGAATTTTGAATTTACGTTATAATGAAAGATGTTCTATATAATGTGTTTCTTCACTATGTTAGCAGCTAGTATGTTGCAGATTTGGTAATATAAATCCAAGTTCATCTGAAAACTCAGCTGACTTAGATATTGCGAATGAAGAAGAGGAAGAAAAGGAACGAAGTCGTTTACGAAAGTGGGACGAATATAAGGATTGTGAGTCAAACTTTAAATTTGCAGCATGTACTTTTTACTGTGACTGGAAAGCAAAGTATTTCATCATTCTGTAATGATTATAACTCGTTTATAAGTATAAAATGTCTATTATTCGTCAGTTCACATTTAAAAGGAAGTTTTTTTTTCAGCTTTGATGATTGTCAGTTTCTTCTCATTAAAATTTTTGTTTTAGATCATCGTCGTGGTTGGGGAAATATGCATAATAAAGGTTGAGAGAAATATCCGTAGCAAAAATTGGAACTGGTTGAAATTTTTTTTCGACTATTCTAATCTGTGATTTTTTTCTCTTCATTATCACGTACAAATTCTTATTTTATTTCCTAGTCTGTATATGCTCTTTCTTATATATTTTGACTTCACTGCGAATTTAGCTATATAATGCTCTTTAGTATTTCTAAATGAGTTCTATTTACTATATTATTTTGAAGTATAGTAGTGTAAAGATTTTATTTTACTTTTATGATAATGATGTCCAATGAAAAATTTTCGCATCATAAACTTTGCATTTATTTGTACTATGTTAGAGCAATATGCTTCTTATCTGGAAAATAGATCGTTTCAAAATATGCAAATTGGGATATTTGTTTCATTAGTTCCTCTAGAAACGATAAGTCTTGTTTGTAATTTCTGCAGGTGATGCTAAATACATTTTTGATATTGTCATGATTTTGTGTGTTTCAAAAGCAGTTTTCATTGTTTGTTTTTTTTATATATTCAATATGGTTTTGGTGAAACGCTTTAATCTCAAGGGAAGAGGTATACATACATAAAAACAACAAGGAACCTTTGAACGAAAACCGTCCAAAATTCTAAAAGAAGTGAACAGCGGACTGTAAAATAATCTAGTTTGTAATTGGGTTTTGGGCTTGTATGTTACGAGTTCTGTTCGTGCACTTATCACAGCAGTAGCATTTATCTACAAAATCATTGATTAAAGTAGATGGCTGTAGGATAGATATTTTTCTCTCAGAAAACGTCTGCCCTACCATTTTATTCTCTATTGCAGAAAGTCGCGTTTGTTTATCTTCGGGACTGTATTTTATTGCGCCTAATTTTAGTCTTCTCAAATGTGCTTTGTTGTGTTGTAGGACGATGTATCGTGAAAATAACAGTGTCGATGAATTATCAAGTGACGACGATGGGCCATCATTGTGTAAAGAGCGAAAGTTAGACATTCATGACTATACTGAAGAGAATTTTAAGGCAGGAAGGTAAATTTGACTTCAGTTCTAGTTTTAAGAAACTTGTTCTTATATTTTAGTATACGTGTGAGTTTGAAACTCTTTATTGCAAGTTCCTTTTTACAGCAAAGCTGCTCGCATGTGGACCGATTTCTTAGCTGAACAAAGTTTATCCGATACGTTTTCTGGCAAAGTTGGAGTATTTCGAGGTGGAAACGACGTGGTAGAACGTGGTGTTGAAAGCTATACCCTTCCAGATGAAAGGTTGATGGTCAGCAATAGTGCGATTCATAAAGAAAGAGTAATTTCTATTCATGATTGTTTTCTCTCACAATTTTTCTTTGCATTGATCTAAATTTACTTGTTATTAGTTTGTAATCATTTGTGCTTTTATTTCTGACGTTTACGAATTAACATCCCTCGGTGTTTTCAGTCATTCCCAAATTAACTCTAAGTATAAATAATTTACATGTACTTGCAGTATATGGCAGTGATTATTGGAGAATTTTTTTGAATTTTAAATGATATAGAAAATTACAAAGTTTATTTAAATATTCTGCTTTGTACAGTGATTACTTTCCTAATTTTTTTTATTTTTTGTTCTTTTTCATATTTTTTCTTTTCTTTGTTAAATTAGAGTATCGGACAAAATTTACATTTGGCAGAAGTTATAGTCATTCACCTCTATTTTTAATCTCGTATGATATTATTTGAAACCGGATGTTTCAGTGTATAATATAAAAAATTTCCATTGCAGAGCCGTGAGGTTATTTCACCTGCAGACGACTGTGAACCATTTGATTTTGTAGCTGATGAGGAACAGGTTGTAATGATTTTAATTTTTCACAGTAAGTAAAAGTTATTAGATGATATCGCTCAATAACGATAGCCAATTCTTTTGTGAGAATCAAGTATGTGGTATGAATTGTTAGAGTCAGCTGATGCCAAGCAGTTGTTGTTGATGAATATCATTCTTCAGTGCGAAAGGCATCACAATAAACGTGATAGGAAGTGGTCAGGACGCGATGAACGACATTTTAGTGAACAAAAGAGAAAAGGAAAAAATTCTTACAAACCTTCGGCTTCCAAGGTTCAGGCGCCGTCGAATTGTGTGAATATGAAACAAAATAAAGGTTTTTAAGTATCATCTAGCGGAATATTTTTCTTATATGTTGCGTCTGACATTTGATACAGTTCGGAAAGAAATCAAAATGCAGTAAGGAATTTGTTTTGAGCTGACTGTAAATATTCATTATTAATATTGATATATTATTTTTATTGCAGATGATAAAAAAATTAATGTTCTGAAACGTAAACGAATGAGTCACAATGCAATTTCATTGGTTCACAGTGAGTATAGTCTGGAGACACTAATGTCTGTAGAATTTCCGGAGGATCTCGACATCAGTGAATTAGCTGAACGCATTGTAGATGCCTTGGGCGAGCTTAATCGGGAGTTTTTGAAAAAGTGATTTGTTTAGATATTAAGTTGCATTTTTTATGTATGAATTAAACTTTAAATAAATGCATTCTAGAAAAGTATAGAGTTCTGTTTTGGACATGTATCAAATTAAGCTTTTATTTGTAAATATATTTAGTTTATGATGCTTACAGCGTTGTAATTGAAGTTGGAGAAGAGATAGCACTCAGATTGTTTGAAGGCACCCGTGAAATTGAAGCATCAGGTGGTATGATGACTGCTGATAAAACTCGTCGGCGCACACCTGGTGGTGTTTTCATGAATTTATTCAAAACAGATCCTAATGTATCCCCTAGTTTAAAGGTTGGATTTTTTCGTTATTGGAGTGGAGAATAGAAATTTTGAGTATTTCTGTTTGTCGTTTGCAGTTGTGCAGAAGTGTATGTCAAGAGTAGATAAACTTGAGCTTTCTTTCGATAAAATTAAGAAATTTTAGTACTGTTGGAGAAAAATTTTGTTAAGTGATAACATAGGGGCTTATCAAATTTTACGACTGAAAAAAGTGTTTCTTTAAATGGTTTGAAAATAAATAAATCAAAAGTTTTTTAAATCTGGTTGTGCGTAAATTTTTTATCGACCATATCTTGAAATTTATGGTTTTTGTGTCCATTTATCCATTTTCCATTGTTTACAAGTGTATAATATTTGGCCACAAATATATTAAATTCCTAAAATGCTGGTTATTTGACAGGAAAAAATTAGTAAGTTGCAAAAAAATGCTGCGCAGCAAACAAGAACTATAAAGCGAGCGAAAAGTAAAGTGTAGAAGAAATCTAATGATCCATCTGCAAAAGTAATTTTTTGGTGCCCAATCAATTGTTACTTTCTTCCTGATAATAAATTCTGTTTCTCACCATCTTCAATAATAGTGAGCTATATATTTTCATTATTTATATGTCTACTTTAAATAATCACGATCATGGTCATTAATAAGTTTAAACAAGTTTAGGTGCTTGGAAAATTATCATTGGCATCAGAGGCACAGTAATCTTCGATCGAATAATTCTAGGAATTTTTTTCTCATCGATTTGCTAGATTCGAAAATGTTACTAAGTTATCATTTACTAATGTTTTGTTGATTATTCTTATTTTTGTATTTGTACAGAAGTAAAAAAGAAGGGAACTTATTCTTTTTAAAACTGTTCTGGCCATTTTTAAAGTCTATCCAACTTCGAAATAAGCTATTTTAGAAGTGTTACTGGTATTGAAGTCTGTTATTTTTAGGAATGTCATTAAAACATTGTTATTTTTCGAGAATTAATATGAGTATTTTGAGGGTAAGTCTGCGGAACTTCAGTACTTCATCTTCATATTCAGCTTTAAATCTTTGCTAAATTTTCTTGTTGCATAATTGTTGGAAGGTTACAGTTTGAAAACGTTGATATCATGTATTTGTTGTAAAATAATTCAGCAAATTAAAAACTGTGTGATTTGATATAGAGGAAATATTTTGCAATAAAATACTTCCTTATTCCAAATAGTTGCTAATTTTAGTTCTCTAATACATGATCTTGTGATTATTGGCTTCAATCTGCTGAAATCTTCATCGTGTTTCTTGACCAATTTAGTAGTATCAACCTCATCCATTTTTTGATGTTTTATCTGGAAGTTGTTTGCTGTTGAATAAATGTTATGATAGTTAGAATGTCAAGCAGTTGAAAAGAAAATTGGTTGTCAGATTAATGTATTCTAGAAGTAAGGAAAGTAAGGGGGGGTGAAGTAGTTTGAAATATCTCTTTAATAGTCATCCAAGAATGGCAGTGGGTTTTTCTAAAATTTGTGTTTCAGTTTTGTTGATTTTCCAGATTTTGGTAGAAGCCATGAGTAGTAGCAGTAATAGTGCTAGAAGTGGTCGTTTTTTACCAAAGTCTACAGAGTATGAATCTCCAAGTATGTCTGTAACTAGCAAATTCTCGCGTGATGTGGAGTATGGAAGTGATACGAAGAATAATTACATAGATGATGCCGAGTCCGAACTGCGGAAGCTATCAGATTCGGATTTAGAGGATGATTTGAAGTCAAGCAATGATTCCTGGTCTGATAGAATTAGTAGTAACCAAGATTTGATTTCTCAAGAAATAAGCGAAGTTGAGTTTGATGGAAAATTGGATTCAAGACATGACTCGAAGTTCAATATTCTCGAGGAACATTCTGTAGAAAGTGATGAAGATAATAGTGATGATGAAGAGTGGAACGATAAGCTACCTGATGAAGTAGATGATGTATTTGTAATTCAACAATTACAAAAATTGGTTGTTCGTCGAAACAAAAAAAACACTGAAGCTCGTTTAAGGTAATTCGTGTTCCAATGTGTATTTTGAAGAATATTCCTTAAAGACTACTGCTAGCAAATGTACAGTATGAAAGTGATACGAAGGATAATTACATAAATGATGCGAAGTCTGAACTGCGAAAGTTATAGATGAATTTTTTTACTTTTCGTAAATGTTTTTGAATGCAGTAAACTAGACATTTCTTTGAACTTTTTAGTGATGTATTAGCAAACACGTAGTCTGTTTACATGATCCCAAATTAATTACTGTAGAAATTTTTATTGGACAATAAAAAATTATTCCATGTGAATTCTTTAGCATTCAAAAATAATCAAATAATTGGTAGTGTAAAAGTTAATGCACTTAGTATAAAGTTACTCAGTGATTCAGTACTCTTGTTAAGCTGATTGCCATGTGAACTAATTTGAACTAATCAGCGTGCTAATATCAAGTTAATTAATTCTTCTTATTACTGAGGATAGTCTTTTCTCAAATTTTACTTGATAATGAATTAAGTTGAATTCAGCATAGCTATTCATTTCAAATATTTTATTGTATCATTATTGTAAATTCATTTATTATTATTATTATTATTATTATCGTTGTTGTCAGTTTATTGATATTACTTACCATTTGTAATTGAAAAATTCCAAGTTATAAGTAATAGCAATAAGTTGTAAATCATTTTTTTTTTAAATATTTAAAATATTATTGTAATAAAATCTTATCATTATAGAGAAAACACTTAAACTGTAATAGTATTATTGATGTAATTGTCAGATGGTTAGCATTTCTGCGCGAGCAGAAAGAAGCAGAAGAAGAAGCAAAACAGTTTGAAGCATATTGGAAGGCAAGACAAGAAGAAGATAAGAATTTGTGGAGAAATAAGATATGATTAATTAATTAATTCATTTATAATTTAAAATTAAAATATTGACAGAATATAAATTAGAAAACAATTAGTTAATAAGTAATCTCTTTTTTGGAATAAATTTGCAATAATGCAATTATTTTTATATAAATAAATAATTTAAAAAAAATAGGCTTTTATTCAAAAGTATAGGCTTGTATTTAAAAAAAAAAAAAAAGAAGGCTTTTATTTAAAATGGCCTTTTTGATGTGATTACTTTCACACCTTTGTCTTCTTTATTTGTTAAAAAAAAAGAATTCATTACAAGTGAAGAAAAAAACTTCGATGAAAAAAAAATAAAAAAGTTTCAGAAGTTTTTTTTTTGAGAATTTTTTCAAATTATTTTGAGAGTAAGAGTGAAAATTGATGCAGTGGGCAAGCAGAATGAAAAAAAAAGCCTTTTGACACAATCAAAAACGATTGATTCATTTTTCATCGACAAATGTAATAAATTGAAAATTAGCAAAAAAAAGTGTTTCTTTTTGTTTTTTTTGTTTTTTTTTTATGCAAAAGTATCAGAGAAAGGTGAGACTGCGATCTGATTGATTTGCATATGTGACTTTTTTATTTATTTTTTATTGTTTTTATTGTTTTTCTTTTTTTTACTTTTCTTTTTTTAATTAGATTTTTGACTTTGTTGTTTGGTTTGTTTTAATGAGTAAATTAGCTAACAATCTTCCGATCAATCTTTGAAAGATTGCTGAAAGAATTTTTTCTTCTTGGCTTGACTTGATCACTTTTTGTATTCATTCATTCATTCATTCATTCATTCATTCACATTAAACGTAAACTTGTTTGATTGAACAAAAATTTCCAACATTTTTTCATGTTTTAAAGTTATTTTACTATGAAATCGTTCAAAAGTTTACTTCAGTCAATGAAAAATCACTAATGGATGCTAATTTTTTTTAAATTTTATTGGCTAAATTTTGTGGGAAATAATTTTATGTAAGTAATATTTTATGTATGCATGTTTTAAGATTTTGCAAATGCTATTTACAAAATGAGCCGAGCTGGCTATAAAGGAGAAAAAGGTCACTTTGAAGTACCAGAGGAAAGGATTGAACAAATGAATGCTCTTTATATGCAAGTTACTGTTGGAGATTATGGTAAGCTGATTTGAAGGTCATACTTGAATTGGTATAAAATTAATTGTAATTAAAGTAAAAGGTTCAGGAAAACAGGTTTTGTAAGTGAAAATGGTAAATGAACGTGGCATTAGTTTACTTTGAAAGACAGCAAGCTGAAATGACATTTGGGAAAATAGGCCGCTTGCATTTGTTTTAAAACTTCAGTATTGTGTTTGAATGCTCAATGACACAAAAAATGAAGAAAAGCCAAGCATTTTGATAATTAATAATAAAGTAAAAGGCAAACAAATCATTCATAAAATAGACTTTGACTTATTTGATCTTTCGATAATATTTACTTAATAAATTCAATAAACAAAATTTAGCATTTTATTAAATTTATTCTTTACTTTATAATTACTTGTTATTAATTATGTATAATTAATGCTAATAGTTTACAATATATTTTCTTAGACTATTTCTGTTTTTATTCACTGTAGAGATTAATTATTCAAACTTTTAAGTGCTATTTAATGTGAATGCTCATAAATAAATAAATTAATTAATTAATTAATTAATTACGGTTATCACAAACTTTTCAAAAAATTTTACTTAGATCAAGTATGCAAAAGCTTACTTTCCCTGATTTTCCTCATAATTTTCTCAGAATGACATATTACTAAATAAATTTTATAATTAAGTGTAAAATTTTGACAAATTTCGTGCCATCCATCGATCAAAAAACGCATATAATGGTTTACTTTTAAGGCTGATTGCAGAGAATAGTTTGGATATATTTTTGGCAAATTTTAGCTTCTTAAAGACTTAAATGAAAAAATATATAAAATTTAAAGCTTTTCAGATGGCAACAAGCGCCTAAAATGCGCACAACAATGGAAGAAGCTTAAAGGTAGTCAGTCTTAAAAGGTCAAGTGAATAATAGAAATATAATTATTATATTCAGATTTTTAGAAATTCATTTAGCTGAAATATAGCTTGCAGTTAAGGCTTTTCATTTAGAGACAAACTTAAGTACAGTCTTACTTCTATATTCTTTATCACTCTGAATGAGTATAATACTAACTTTTCATTTATACTGCTATCAATTTAATACATGTCTTACTTTGCAAGATCCATGGCTTCAAATGCAGTGCTGACTTGACTTGATCGTTTAATCTAATAAAAACTAAATTGTTCAAAATTTTATGAATTTTTTGCATATTTATTTATCAAATATATTTTTAATATGACTAAAATTTGTTTAAAAAAATAACCATTTTTATTTGGAATAAATTCTGAAGTGAATATGATATGCATGCTTTGAAGGCAAAACGAAAATTGACTGCCAACGAGAATTCATTAAATTAACAAATCAGACAATTACATTGTACGGTTGGAATCCACCAGATGGATGGCTGTGATGAACTGAGCAGCAATGAAATGAAAAATTATCGAGAATTATCTTAAAAATATTTTTTTGCTGACAATTATTGTCTACAAATAATTTTTATTGCCAAAGAAATTTTGCATAAATAATTAATAATAATAAAATTCAGCTAATTGTTAGGTGTTAGAACGAAAATTATTGTAAAGTCACAGCTACAAAAACAAAATTTTGATTCATTTTAGCTTAGTTAAAAGTGTACAAAGTAGAAATATAAATGATATATAACTTTAAAATTAACTCGTTATTATACTTTATTCATGCTTTTTCCAAATAAAAATGTTTGCAAAAACAACGAATAATAATAATGTTTTAAAAACTATCTCTGTACTTTTTCGAGTCTAACTTACAGAATTTCATTTTTAGTCTTAATATTTTAATCATTATTCGCTAAATTTGCATAGGTTTGATATAAATCTGAAACTTTGCAAAAATATTTTTTTACTAAATTAAAATTAAAAAAAAATTTAAGTAAAGCAAAAAGTATTAAAGACTTCAAAAAGTTATTTCTTATTATTATTTATTCACTTTGAAATGATCGCTATTAGTGCGTAGAAGTGACTAATGATAAAAGTGATAAGAGATAAAGTAAGTTAACTGATAATTTATTTAGCAATGAGTTGAAATTAAAATTGACAATTTTAAAGTTGATACTTCTCTAATTTCTGTGTTGTGTTTTCATTATATTTTCTACAGTTCGATGGATTTTTCCTAAATGCTATTCTTATTCTAAAATATGGAAGTCTTCGTGTATCAGTTGTTCTACTTCAATAAACGTTTGGTAATGTTATCATTGTTGATAATTTTTATTACAGACAAAACTACAGATAGACATTACTGCTAATGAGTTTTGTAAATTTTAACAAAAACGTGAAGGTCGCTTGCCTGTACACAGTTTGTTTGATTTGGTAAAAATTTTTGTAATTTTTTTTTCTGCTTCCTAACTGACTGTGGGGGATACCTAACAATCGAAACAATTTTTGTTCACAATTTTTTGGTATTCGTAGTAAAACAAACACATACAGTTACATTTAACAACAAAAACTGACTTTCATTTTCCCTCTCAAAAATTAGTATAATTTGACAAATAGTAATTTTATGAATGATTTAAAAATATTTTCAAGAATAATTTGCTTCAAAAATATTTTGGAAGACATTTTTAAGTTGTTTGAAATGACAAAAATACATGTCTGGCTTATTTATTTAAAAAAAAAAGCATTGATTGATCAACATCAAGATCGAGATCGAGACTGCGATCAAATCAATTACAATATAAGACAATTTATTTTAAGCAAAATTTAAAATTGCTTGAAAATGTGGCATTTCAACAAATCTTTAGGCAAATAAATGAATGAAATATATCCTCAAATGAAAAAATTTAATTTTGTTCTAATTTATTCATTTTTGACTTTTTCAATATAAAATTAGTAATAAAATATGTATATATAAAAAAGATATTGACAAAAATCCCAACAATCTGTCGCTGATTTGCTACTTTGATTGCTTTTTGCTGGAATAAGATAAAATTAGCTTAGTGATTTATTGATTGATTGACTGATTGATTTGATTTAATCAGGCAAATAAAATATAATTAATATAATTGAGACTGCAATTTTTATTCTATTTAGTAAACATCACATCTTTACACGTCTACACCAGTGGTAATGCAATGCATTTTAGTCAAATAGTAACTCATCATCTGTCTTTGATTTTGCAAGAAACTTTCTGATTATGTCAGTGATTTTCAATGCTTCCAATCAATTTCCAAAATTAATCAACCTTTAATTTACAATGAGCAAACTAATTAATACACCAATTAAACGGTTAAATATTGAGAATTTCCCTTTGCAAAACAGACTTGACCTCATCTGTCACCCAGTTTTAAAATTATTAAGCTTCGAACGTGAGTGTTCGTCACAACACTTCCTCGATACCAAAAGATTTAATTCATTGGATTTCTGAATTTGCCTTTCATAAAGTTATCATATCTGAGATTATCAGAAGACCATCACTGCTTATAGTCACTTATGACTACTACTCAACTACTCACAGTTAATAATAAATCTGATGCGCAAAAAACGTGTCGAAGGAATTTCCTGCTTGCTAAGTAGTCAATGATATTCATTCTTTTTGAATGCTCTAAAATGATGTGCTACTTTGCTAATATTAATTACTTAAATAAACTAAAACAGAAAAGATCGCAAGTATATTAAAGCAAAAGTTGCCAAAACAATTTTCGCGCTCAAATCACAATTTGTTATATTTGTATATTTGTATGTGTTAAAAAATTGTAACACAAATGTATCACAAATTTGCATTTTTGAAATGTTTGATTAGTCAGTCAATTTATGCAAAAATTTGACAAATGCAAAAAAAATGAAAGTATAAAATTGCATGAATGAACAATTGTGTACATTCAGTATTGCACAAAGATAATTGTTTGAATTGCACTGATATCACTGATACTTTACAGTACTGATATTGACGGAAGAAAATCAGAATAGCTAAGTACTTCAGAAGACATTGCTATATTTTCACTGCCTCTAACAAAAACATAAATAATTTGTAATCAAAATATTTAAAAAAAGTAGTAATACTTGAACGACGGCATTAGCAATTTCCGTCAAATGTTATTCACGTCAATTTTTTTTTTGCTGCTAAAAATTGTACATGAGTTGAAGTTGGAACTTTGACTAGGTAATAATATTCGGGTAACATATGCATAAGTCGTAAAAGATTACAACAGAAGTATTTTGAATATGTATAACATTTTCGCTGATAATGATGATACCAATGATGTGAATGATAATAATGATGATAATGCTAATAACAATAACAATAATAACAGGGAGCCATGAACAAATAACAATAACGAAAAATGCTCAATTTGTGCGGTTGACAATTATATGATATGATGTGCCAATCTGACTTTGGAGATATTAGCAAAGCACAGATGTACACAGTTTTGATAATAATTAACTGAGAAACAAAAATACTCAATTATCCAAAGACAATGCTTTTTGTGCTATTGAAAAAAACAACCACATTTAACAGAATTTATAGCAGATAGATTCTAATACTAGCAATGCACTAAGTAAATGAATATTTGAGTTAGTATCACCATGAAGTACAAATATATATATGATCGAAAGCCTGCAGTCCTGTTAGCATTTCAAATTAATTGATCACTCAAGAGTAAACTGTAAAGAAATTGGATTTAGTTTGCGCTTACCACTACAAGCTTTAACAAATTTCACCTTTGAACTTTAAATTCATTGTGATACTAGCTAGCAATTACTTAGGTGATATGTGACAGCATGAAAGACAACAACAAAATATTCCCGAAATGTCGTAAGATTCTAGACACCTTTCTTTTCTAACAAATCTTACATTCTAGCAATCAATTCAAATAACTATAGATCAGTTAAGTATCTACTGAAAATAGTAATGATTGATCAGTTAATCAATCACTTTCTAAGTAAGCTATCCTAACATTAATGATTTTTAATAAAAGTGTAAAAATGGGAGGATTGCAAAGGAATGACTGGAAATAAGTTGGAAAATAATGTAAATAGACCTGAAATAGTGAGGATGTAAGAAATTAATAATTCATAAAAGTAACTTCAAATTAATCATTCATTATTTTTTTCCCTCCCAAAAAGCCATAACAAATTTGATTTGAATAATTTACTGATCTAATTAAGTGATCAGACAAGACGAATTGCCCTAAAATTACTTTGCAAGTTTACAATAAGTTGTAAATCATAATTGTATGCAAAAGTAAAAAAGCTTACTCCAAATTTCACTTCACAAAATATAATTGGAACCGATTTGTGAATTTGAACTTTCAAAGTCATTTAAATAACTCCTGAGCCTTTTTAAGCTATATAAGGATTAGAGATGATTATAACGATAATGATAACGATAATAATAATAATAATAATAATAATAATAATAATAATGACTGAATAAATGAATAAATAAGTAAAATAAAGAAAATTTGAAGAAGACTAAAAATATCACTAACTTTTAATTGAAATATCAATTTGCAATAAATGAATGAGAAATAAGAAAGGAGCGTATTTGTACAAACTAATAAAACTCACTGCAAATATTCTAATAAGTACAACAACAGAAAAGCTACTACCAAAGATGCTAATTAAAATGCAGTGATATGCATGAGATATTTCAGAAATAATTTTTGAAGTTACTCATTAATATACGTCAAAAATACTCAGTACGAAAAATGAAATTAGCATTAATCACTTTTGCATATATATTTTGAAAAATTGCTTGTAAAATTCATCAGTAAAGAATTCAGGATTGAAAATAGAATTGCGTGCTGCAATTATCTGATTTTCATGATGGCGATGATGTCGACTAGATAATTTCGTGGAATGAAAATGACGTCGTTTACGACGTGGAGGAAATCGTAATGGTTGCGATAAAGTTTTTATATAATCAAATGATGCAGCAGTTCGTGAAGTAGCTTCTTCAAAAAGAGTTTCATGAGCTGTATTGTTTTGTCTTACTTGTTTTCGTAAGCCAGCCAAGAAGTTACACATTACTGCGCCTGAAAAACTTATCAAAAGCTAATAACACATATCAAACTTCAATAATAAATCAGTATTATACTTTGTATTGTAAAATACCGGTCTTACTGTATTAATATAAATGTATTAGCTTTATTTTACAAATTAATAACTATATTAATTTAGGATAAATTCTTATCAAAATTGAATAATCAAAATGAACCGTATTCAGCAGCAAGGCGATGTGAAAAATCAAGTTTTTTCGATAAAAGATGCTGGAATTTATAGCGTATAGCATTGTCCTCAGTGCAAAGTGGTACATCACTTTCTGCAACATTTTTAATTTGCATAATTACTGTATAATTAATTATTACCGTTATTTCAAAGCTAGAGTAATTTTGAATACAACCAAAATACAATAATTTTTTTTAATTTAAGAAAATGTCATACAGCAAATATTTTTTCTTTCTTTGAACTTTTACAATTTCAATTACACTGATAAAAAGTTATCAAAATTTTTAAGATGCATTTTTTTAGTTTTGATATAAAACCAGTTTCAGACCACACAAAAAATACTTTTTCACTCTTTTTCGATGTCATTGAAAGTATTACTTTTAATTTGGAAAAGTAAGACTTGGGAATAAAATGATAAAATCCAAAATACAATTGAGCATCTGATATGATTTTGCTAATATCAAAAAGCATTTATACGGATTATGCATATTATAAGCAAAATATGCAAAGATCTAAGTGTAAGATGTGAAAATATTAGCATAATTTAGCACTGAAGAAAAAGTTCAAAAAAACAAAAAATATAAAAATAAAACAGTACAAAATAAATAACGGAATAAAAAAATGAGATTAAAGCTATACTTTTTAGAAAATAATATTTTTTACAATTTGAATCTACCTTGAAGCTTTCTTCTGATTCCATCAATATGCGATGGGTCTTTCCCGTACTGCGATAGACTGTGAAGGTCTAAAATATTTCATTGAATTAACTTAATGTGCAAAAATTTATGCAAAAATTTGATAGAAAAAAAA